TGAAAGTTTTGACCTACTTTCTTTCCAACCTGGGCCTGTTCACCCCTACCAAGGTAACCTGGTTGTCCCCTGCCCTCAGGAAGTCACCATGTTGATTCTGAACTTAGTGCAGACATCTGACTGGTTTAGCATACTGCAGCCCTCTTAGTCTCAAGGATTCTCCTTATTGTGATAGAAGATGCTGTGGTGTCTGGTATGAAGATTCTAATTTAGCCAGGCCTATCATCCCAGCTACTATGTTAACCTCAGACACCACAGCATCTTCTTCTTTTTTTTTTTTTTAGACAGAGTCTCACTCTGTTGCCCAGACTGGAGTGCAATGGCACAATCTCAGCTCACTGCAGCCTCCGCCTTCCAGGTTCAAGCAATTCTCTGGCCTCAGCTTCCTGAGTAGCTGGGACTACAGGTGCGTGCCTCCATGCCTGGCTTATTTTTTGTATTTTTAGTAGAGATGGGGTTTCACCATGTTAGCCAGGATGGTCTCGATCTCCTGACCTTGTGATCTGCCCGCCTCGGCCTCCCAAAGTGCTGGGATTACAGGCCTGAGCCACCGCTCCCGGCCACAGCATCTTCTATCACTATATATATATATATATGTTTGTTTATTTATTTTTTGAGATGGAGTTCCACTCTTGTTGCCCAGGCTGGTGCAATGGCACGATCTTGGCTCACCGCAATCTCCGCCTCCCAGGTTCAAGCGATTCTCCTGCCTCAGCCTCCCTAGTAGCTGGAATTACAGGCATGTGCCACCACATCTGGCTAATTTTTTTGTAGTTTTAGTAGAGATGGGGTTTCTCCATGTTGGTCAGGCTGGTCTCGAACTCCTGACCTCAAGTGATCCACCCGCCTCAGTCTCCCAAAGTGCTGGGATTACAGGGGTAAGCCACCGTGCCCGGCCACCTATCACAATATATTTTAAGCAACTAAATACAAGATGGGCATGGTGGCTCACGCCTGTAATCCTAACACTTTGTGAGACCGAGGCGGGCAGATTACCCTAGGTCAGGAGTTCGAGACCAGTCTGAACAATATGGAGAAAATCTGTCTCTACTAAAAATACAAAAAATTAGCCGGGGGTGGTGTCACATGTCTGTAATCCCAGCTACTCGGGAGGCTGAGGCAGGAGAATTGCTTGAATCAGGAAGGCAGAGGTTGCGGTGAGCCAGGATGGCGCCATTGCGCCCTAGCCTGGGCAACAAGAACGAAACTGCATCTAAAAAAAAAAAAAAAGAAAGGAAATACAAGTGACTTTAAGAGTCAAAGATTGCATTGAAATTAATATAGGCCTACTTTTGCATTCAGGAGTGTAATGGTAACTTCATAAATATGGCCCTGGGTGAAGCCCAGGACAGTATTTCCAATAGGAAATGTATAAAATTAGGAAATACCACTTTGTTTGTATGTATTTTAATCATTTGGTCAACACTATTTATGTCGACCTTAAGGGACAAGAACAGTAATCCTAGATTGAATGAAACTTCTGGAAGAGGCTTCTGACCTTCTTCTCCACTGGGATAATTTCCATTTCCTCCAGGGCAGCATGCTTGGTACATGAAGAGCCAAAGTGAAAACCAGCTATTTGAGTAGGTCAAAGGGTAAAGTACTCTTCTATGGACTTGCTCTGGTGTTTAGAACAACTTCCTTTTGAAGGACAAAACTATCTTAGTGGATTGAGATGATATTGCCTCTTCAGAGGAGTTAGGAAACTGTGAAGGAAAAGGAAGGATGAGGAAAACTGCAAATTCAGGACACTTTGAACCCCATGATTGTTGAAACGGCTTTGTAAAAAGCTTCAGGAAATGTGAGATAGTACTCTGTCAAGAAGCACTTTTTCTTTTTTATTTTTTTGAGGCAGGGTCTCACTTTGTCACCCAGGCTGTAATACAATGGCACATTTTGGCTCACTATAGGCTTGATCCCCTGGGCTCAAGCCATCCTCTCACCTCAGCTTCCCAAGAAGCTGGAACCACAGGCACATTCCACCACGTCCAGATAATTTTTTTGTATTTTTGGTGGAGACAGGGTTTCACCACGTTGCCAAGGCTGGTCTCAAACTCCTGAGGTCAAACAATCTTTTTTTCTTTTCCTTTTGAGAAGGAGTCTTACTGTATCGCTCAGGCTGGAGTGCAATGGCGCGATCTCGGCTCACTGTAACCTCTGCCTCCCGGGTTCAAGTGATTCTCCTGCCTCAGCCTCCTGAGTAGCTGGAATTACAGGTGCGTACCACCATGCCCAGCTACTTTTTTGTATTTTTAGTAGAGATGGAGTTTCACCATGTTGACCAGGCTGTTCTAGAACTCCTGACCACGTGATCCACCTGCCTCGGCCGCCCAAAGTACTGGGATTACAGGCAGGAGCCACCGCGCCTGGCCTTCAAACGATCTTTCTGCCTCAGCCCCCAAAGTGCTAGAATTACAGGTGTGAACCGCTGCACCCTGCCAAGAAGCACTTTTCTAAAAGAGGAAGCTAGAATATAAAACTATTCTACATATATATATATATATATATAAAAATTCTGGGCTAAGTGCAGTGGCTTGCATTTGTAATCCCAGCTTCTCAGGAGGCTGAGCCAGAAGAATGGCTTGAGGCCAGAGTTCAAGACCGCAGTGACCTATGACCATGCCACTGCACCCCAGCCTGGGTGACAGAGCAAGACTCAGTCTCAAAAAAAAAAAAAAAAAAGGAAATTCTGCCATATGATAGAATGTCTTTCTTTCAAAGTATTAGCTTTTGGTGAGATCATGGAGGGAATATGAGGAGAGAAAATAATGTTAGACATAGGTTTTTAGATGGGAAAATGTGTGTTTGACCTTTTATGATTTTTATAAATTAAAATATGATCTAAGGATCTGTAAATGGGAGCAGAATATTTATAGCCAACTAGGAAAATTTGAATAGCAAGTTTCATTGGTTTGCAGATGGTACATAAATGTGACTTTGCAAAAATAGATCAGAGAGAACAGGAGAGAAATGGAGAGTAATTTATTGCAGTGAAAAGAAAACAATGTCTAGACCCCAAAACGAAACAATTATTTTCCTGTTTCTGCTAAAAGTACTTTATATGTTAACTACCTCAATATTTTATTCAGTTGAACATGCAAGCAACATTTTAGTTTGTGTCATTTAAAGTTTCTTTTCTTATCTGTGCTTTTGTTTTTGAACAATGCAAATGGAGATACGAAGAATAATAATGCTCAAAGACCAGGATGAGGATAAAACATACCCCAGAAGTCAACTATTCAGGCCCATTAAGCATTTCAAACTCTGCGTGCCCAAAACCAACTTCAGCTGCTTCTCTGCGTTTTCACATGAAACCTAGAATTTTAGGGATTATCCTAAACTTCTCTCCCTCCAACTTTCCCCACAACAGTCATTGAATTCTCCTCATACCAACTTCTTTTGTAGTACTTCCCTTCCCTGTCTTTGCATTTGCCACTATCTTTATTCATACTCTCACCATCCCCCCGATCCCACCCCACTCATTTTAAAGATGGACTAGGACTTTCTGAGTGGTCTTTCTGACTCTGATCCTGTGATGTATCCTAGAATGATCTTTCTAAAACAAAAATCTAACCAGGTGGCACTTCTCCTTCCACTCCAAGTATTCAGTAAATGCTTGGATTGGATACACTGGATTCAATAAAATCCAAATTCTTCAGCTTAATACACAAAGCTCTTCACAATCTAGTCCTGGCTTGTGGCTTCTGCCTCATGACCAGCCATTCCAGCACTACACACAGGGCCCTGAGTATGTCTTATTCTTCCCCACCACTTTGCCTTCAAATATCTTGCTTTATTATTCAAATGCTTCCCTTACTTTTATGAAATACAGTTCAAGATCCCTCTTCTGGGCTCTACTACCCCCAGCCCCACCCCACACCAGTCTACTTTATTTATTTTATTAATTAATTAATTCATTTATTCATTCATTTATTTTTGAGATAGAGTCTCGCTCTGTCATCCAGGCTGAAGTGCAGTGACTTGATCTTGGCTCACTGCAAACTCCACCTCCCAGGTTCAAGCGATTCTCCTGCCTCAGTCTCTTGAGTAGCTGGGATTACAGATGCCCACCACCATGCCAAGCTAATTTTTGTATTTTTAGTAGAGATGGGGTTTCACCATGTTGGCCAGGCTGGTCTCGAACTCCTGACCTCGTGATCTGCCTGCCTTGGTCTCCCAAAGTGCTGGGATTACAGGCATGAGCCACCGCGCCTGGCCTTATTTATTTTTATTTTTAAATTTTTAATTAGGAAGATTATTTATTTCTGCTCCTTTCATGCATCTTATTGTTCAGGAAACAGTCTTATGTACTTATCTGAAATAATCTACCATCACACACTCTAGTTAAAGGCAAAGCACCATAGGAAAAGCTGATGAGCTGTCCAGAGTTCTCAGCTTATGGAACCTTGCTTCTTAATTTTATGTTAATTTCTGAAAATCAGAAATGTCAGCTCCAAAAAATGTTAAGGGGGTTGCAAAAAATAATTATTTGATACTATAGTTGTAGATATGGAGTAAGAAATGAAAAATTAAGAAGAAAATGCCACTAAACATAATTGGTATAGCAACAGGACAGCAGGAAAAAAAATACTGTAATAAAATTGTCTCTTTAATACCAAGAAGAAATTCTAGTGCAAGCTTCAATACGCTTCCTGTTTTTTCACTAGATATTTCTTTTACTGCTGCTCTTCATTCTTTTCCACATGTCATACTGGATGATTGGTACAGCCTTTAAAACTTCATTGACAGGAGCAAATCCAGTATCCTCATTACTGTTGTATACGTCCCATGTGCCTGAACATAACACAGACTAGCTTCCCATTATGTAAACATTTATCATATGGATAAAGGTGACTCTCCGAATAGTAAAGCAGCAGTTGACAATTAACAAGTCACAAATCTGCATAGTTCTTTCCCACATAAAAAGTGCCATGGCTCTAAGACCTAAAGGCGCTCCTTCTGTACTATCACAATCCTTTTGATTTCTTCTCAAAGGCACTCTAACCCATCAAATAGCCTGGCAGTTTCATTCTCATGAATACTCTAGCCATGAAAAAATTTAATAGGACACATAAGAATCCAATGAATAGAAGAAGAAATGTATTGAGTTTTGGGATATTTGGTGCATTTGATGGGTCCAGGATTATGAAATTTAAACTTCCCGCCGGGCGCGGTGGCTCAAGCCTGTAATCCCAGCACTTTGGGAGGCCGAGGCGGGCGGATCACAAGGTCAGGAGATCGAGACCATCCTGGCTAACGTGAAACCCCGTCTCTACTAAAAATACAAAAAACTAGCCGGGCGAGGTGGCGGGCGCCTGTAGTCCCAGCTACTCAGGAGGGTGAGGCAGGAGAATGGCGTAAACCCAGGAGGTGGAGCTTGCAGTGAGCCGAGATCGTGCCACTGCACTCCAGACTGGGTGACAGAGCAAGACTCCATCTCAAAAAAAAAAAAAAAGAAAAAAAAAAGAAATTTAAACTTCCCATTGTAAACAGGAAGCTGGATGCAAGTCTGTCCATAATATATTGTCCATTTACTCTGTAGGCCAAGAAAGCTACTGGCCTCTGATACCCATATTCATCAATCATAGAGCCAACACTTGGAGGTTCAACAATAACATCATAAGTTATTCCTCCAGTGATGAGGAAGTAAGACACCTTCACCAGAGCATACATAGTCATGGCCAATGGTATGTGCAGCCAGGGCGACTTCTTCAGCTTCAGGTTGGGACATTTAAGTACTAAGAATGGGACACGGTACAAAGTCTCCATGTTGGTAGCAGCAAGCTATTTATTTATTTATTTATTTATTTTTATTTTTGTTTTTTGAGACGGAGTCTCACTCAGTCTCCCAGGGTGGAGTGCAGTGGCACCATCTTGGCTCACTGCAAGCTCCTCCTCCTGGGTTCACACTATTCTCCTGCCTCAGCCTCCCTAGCAGCTGGGACTACAGGCGCCCGCCACCATGCCTGGCTAACTTTTTGTATTTTTAGTGGAGACAGGGTTTCACTGTGCTAGCCAGGATGGTCTCGATCTCCTGACCTCGTGATCCGCCTGCCTTGACCTCCCAGAGTGCTGGGATTACAGGCATAAGCCACTGCCTGGCCTACTATTTTTTATTTTTAAGACAAGGTCTCGCTGTGTCACCCAGGATGGAGCACAGTGATGTGATAACAGCTCACTGCAGCCTAGACCACCTGGGCTAAAGCCATCCTCCCACATCAGCTTCCCAAGTAGCTGGGACTACAGCTGCATGTCACCAGGCTAGCTAATTTTAAAATTTTTTGGTAGATATAGAGTTTTGCCATGTTAAAAATTTATCTCTTTTATGTTCTTATTTTACCTATATTATGCATTCTTTCACTTACTCAATAAATACTTATTGAGTACATACTATGTGTCAGGCATTGTACTATACTGTCACTCTATTGTGATGATTTACGTGTCTCCCCCCTACTTGAACTTAAACTCCCTAGATACAGATTCCATTTAAATACAGTATTGAATGGGTGAATGGATGATGGATGGATGGATGGATGGATGGATGGATGGATGGATGGATGGAGACTTTTGATAGTAGCTAACAGGATTCCTTACAAGCTCCAAAAAAAAATTTTTTTTTTTTGAGACGGAGTCTTGCTTTGTCACCCAGGCTGGAGTGCAGTGGCACGATCTCAGCTCACTGCAACATCCGCCTCCCAGGTTCAAGCAATTCTCTGCCTTAGCCTCCTGAGTAGCTGGGATTACAGGAGCCTGCCACCACGCCCTGCTACTTTTCTTTTGTATTTTTAGTAGAAACGGGGTTTGACCATGATGGCCAGGCTGGTCTTGAACTCCTGACCTTGTGATCCACCCGCCATGGCCTCTCAAAGTGCTGGGGTTATAGGCATGAGCCACCACGCCCGGCCTTCCAATATATATAAATACATATTGGAATATATATATAGAGAGAGGAATATATATATAGGAAAATATATAGAGAGAGGAATATATATATGGGAAATATATAGAGAGAGGAATATATAGAGAGAAATATATATATATATATATATATATATATATATATATATTTTTTTTTTTTTTGAGACAGAGTCTCACTCCATTGCCCAGGCTGGAGTGCAATGGCGCGATCTGCAACCTCTGCCTCCCGGGTTCAAGCAATTCTTCTGCTTTTGCCTCCCAGGTAGCTAGGATTACAGGTACTCACCACCATTCCCAGCTAATGTTTGGGGGTTTTTTGTATTTTTAGTAGAGAGAGGGTTTCATCATGTTGGCCAGGCTGGTCTTGAACTCCTGACCTCAGGTGATCCACCTGCCTCAGCCTCCCAAAGTGCTGGGATTACAGGCGTGAGCCACTGCACCTGACCCAAAATATTTTTATATTAATTATTGTAGGCGGGGCATGGTGGTTCATGTCTGTAATCCCAGCACTTTGGGAGGACGAGGCAGGCAGATTTCCTGAGGTCAGGAGTTGGAGACCAGCTTGGCCAACATGATAAAATCTCGTCTCTACTACGAATACAAAAATTAGCCAGACGTGGTGGTGCATGCCTGTAATCCCAGCTACTTGGGAGGCTGAGGCAGGAGAATTGCTTGAACCCTTCAGGTGGAGGTTGCAGTGAGCCAAGATCACGCCATTGCACTCCAGTCTGGGCGACAGTGCGAGACTCTGACTCAGAAAAAAAGAAAAAAGAAATGTTCCTACATACAATGATTTTTTGTTTGTTTGTTTTTTGAGACGGAGTCTCACTCTGCCACCCAGGCCAGGCTGGAGTGCAGTAGCACGACCTCGGCTGACTGCAATCTCTGCCTCCTGGGTTCAAGCGATTCTCTGCCTCAGCCTCCTGACTAGCTGTGATTACAGGCACTCGCCACCATGCCCGGCTATTTTTTTGTATTTTTAGTAGAGACAGGGTTTCACCATGTTGGCCAGGCTGTACTTGAACTCCTGACTTCGTGATCCACCTGCCTCGGCCTCCCAAAGTGCCAGGATTACAGGCGTGAGCCACCGCACCTGACCGTATGTAGGAACATTTCTAAGATACATTAGAACCTCTCTGCCTGCTAAAAAACACCAGGACCATTTGGCCCTACTAAATGACTCTTTATTAATGTTCTTTGGAGGGCTTGAGTTTTCCTTTAAAATTTTTGTTTCCTTCCGTGCTGACAGGAAATCACTTGTTGCTTAATTGTTGTTGATATGCCACCTGAAGCAGCTGATTTTCCTCTAACACCATTCTGATCTGTTACAAGTTTGGAAGCCACATCATGAGAACTGCTGTAACTTTATGCAAAATGCAAACCAATAGATTCAGAATGAGGCCCTGAAGACCCTTATGAGATTGGTCTTGTCCAAGCACTTGAGAGTTGATTAAAGAAAAAAAAAATTTTTTTTTAAAGAGAATAGTCTTGAATCTAGGGCACTGAACTTTATGATAACTATTTTTCCTACTCAGAATACTTCCTTACTTCCTGATTTTTTGGGCTCTTGACAAATGTGGCATTAATATATAAAATGCAGTACCATTTTAAAAACTAGAGTCCACAAAAGGCAAGGCCTTACAGTGGCTCATGCCTGTAATCCCAGCTTTTTGGGAGACCAAGGTGTGAGAATCGCTTGAACCCAGGATTTCAAGACCAACCTGGGCAATGTAGCAAGATGTTATCTCTACTAAACATTAAAAACAAAAGCAAACAAACAAAATACACTAGCCAGGCATGGTGCTGCATGCCTGTAATTCTAGCTACTCCAGAGGCTAAAGCAGGAGGATCTCTTGAACAGGGGAGTTTGAGGTTGCAGTGACCTATGATCACACCAGTGCATTCAAGCCTGGGTGACAGAGCAAGACCTTGTCTCAAAAATAATGATAAATAAATAAAATCCACAAAAAGAGGAATTAATATTTGAACATATACCTATATAGTGATAAGATATGGTATTGTGAAAAGACACATTTTAAAATCTATTTGATTTAAATATCTGGCAGAACCTATGGTACTTTTTAGTAAATGAAAATAACATGAGCCTGGGAAACGGATAAACCCAGGTCCAAAGTTTTGTTCTGTCCGTTTGGGTGACCTTTGTGTAACTTAGCTATTGTCCCTTCATTTCGTCTATACAATCCCTAACCTGATAAATGGAGATAAAAACATTTTTTTTCCTTTCTTTTTTTTGAGATAGAGTCTCTCTCTGTCACCCAAGCTGGAGTGCAGTGGCGTAATCTCAGCTCACTGTAACCTCTGCCTCCCAGGTTCAAGCGATTCTACTGCCTCAGCCTCCCGAGTAGCTGGGATTACAGGCGCACACCACCATGCCGGGCTAAGTTTTGTATTTTTAGTAGAGACAGCGTTTCACCGTGTTAGCCAGGATGGTGTCGAACTCCTGACCTCGTGATCCACCAGCCTCGGCCTCCCAAAGTGCTAGGATTACAGGTGTGAGCCATCATGCCCGGCCCAAAAACACTTTTTACTGAATTGTTTGCAAATAGATTAAGATAATAATTTAAGAGCAGTTGCTTATTTGGCACTTTTTATTGCAGAAACGAGCTAAAATAAGATAGGGTTATGTATCAGTCATTGAAGAGATAACACTAACCGTCTCAACAAAATCATTAATGTTTTACTGGGCAAATCTTGTGATCTTTTTCAAATGTATGCTATCAGTGCCTCTGTGACCTTTGCTAACCTGTGATTACAGCTTTGCTTACCTGTGATTACAGCTTTGCTCATCTTCCTGTTATGAGATCTCCTCTACTCTGAGTGACAACAAACTCTAGACCATCGGATTACTCTTGCAGAGGGTCTTGGGTTATCTTCCTCTGTGAAGCAAGCCAAGGAAATGATGTGGCGTGGTTCCCAACCTCTGACCACTGAGCTCCTCCACCGACTAACAACGTTTTGCTTTTTTTTTTTTTGAGATGGAGTTGCGCTCTTTTGCCGGAGTGCAGTGGTGCAATGTCAGCTCGTTCCAACCTCTGCCTCAAGGGTTCAAGCAATTCTCCTGCCTCAGCCTCCTGAGTAGCTGGGGTTACAGGCATGTGCCACTGTGGATAATCTTTTGTATTTTCAGTAGAGATGGGGGTTTCACCATGTTGGCCAGGCTGGTCTCGAACTCTTGACCTCAGGTGATCCACCCACCTTGGCCTCCCAAAGTGCTGAGATTACAAGCATAAGCCACCATGTCCAGCCAACAACATTTTACTTTTAAAATTCTGAGTGTGTCGTAAGCACTTTGTTGTATCCATTAACAAATCCAATCATATGAGACAGCATTTTCTTAATTGATTTATTATATATATACATACATATATATATATATATTTTTTTTTTTTAAGAAATGGAATCTCCCTCTGTCATCCAGATTGGAGTACAGTGACATGATAGATCATAGCTCACTGCAGCCTTGAACCCCTGGGTTGAAGCAATCCTCCTGCCTCAGCTTCCCCAGTAGCTGGGATTACAGGTGTGCACCACTGCACCCAGCTGACAGATATTATTATTATACATACTTAACAGATAAGAAAACTGAGGCAGAAGTTTGAGCCTGTTCTGTCCAATGTCATATCCATTAGCTCATGTAGCAATTGAGCTCTTGAATTGCGGCTTGTCTGGGACGGGCGTGGTGGCTCACGCCTGTAATCTCAGCACTTTGGGAGGCTGAGGCAGGTGGATCACTTGAGGTCAGGAGTTCAAGACCAGCCTGGCCAACACAGTGAAACCCTGTCTCTACTAAAAGCACAAAAATTAGCTAGGTGTGGTGGCAGGTTCCTCTAATCCCAGCT